ACTTTATTAATGCCTACCTATAGTTCTGTTTCAGTGTGTATTATGTCGAGAAATTGACATATAAGTTATATGTTTGTCAGGAAAGCATCCCAGCTTGTGGATCCTTCACTTCTGATATACGCTTCAATACCATGTTTGATGAGGAACTGACCAAACCATCCTGTACAATCACCATACCACCCACACCGAGCCAACATGGAGTATTGGACTAAATCAAGTTCTACTCAACCTAATGGAGTGGGTTTTGAAATCCATCAAAAATTTGCCTATTTTATGAAGAATAATATAGTTAAACACCCTTGGTTCGAGCCAGATTAAGAGTTATCTTTTTACTCCACCCCGTGGGCCAATTCCTACCCGATTTGGATCTTTTCTTAAATGGATCATTGGAGAATTATGTTTGGCGCCCATGAGAGTTTTCAGTTCACTTCGTCTACAAGCCCCAATACACGAGCCTAATTGCACCAAACCTCACATGATCACGAGAATCACCATAAGCTGAACTTGCCTTATTTGGACCGAGAGAGTTAAAGTTCCAACAATTGTTTCCCTTTCATTGTTGTTGTGTTTTGGATGCTTATTCAATGCATCTAGACATCCCAAGACACCACAAATTCGCACCAAAGCTCTCAAATCTGCGACTTAACAACCGTTAACAAACATTACAGAATTAGTAAAAAGCGTTAAATTTTAACTTTATGTAAATAAATAGATATATATATATATATATATATATATATATATATATATATAATCTTTATAAAAATACTTAGAAATCGCGTAGTAACAAGTGGGTTATTAACATTAATGGCATTAATACGATCATAACTCAAATTCTTTCATCTATGCACTTTTATCCAAATTCTTCCCCACTTCCGCAACTTATCTACTCCACGACCACGAAAACAACCAATACGCCGCTGCCGCTGTCATCTCTGTCCCTATCTCTCCTATGATAACTATAGAAAATTTACATTCCATCATCAAATTTAATTTTGATTTGTTTTCCTCGAAAATGGAGAGATTGTGTGTCAAGAGGCAATATTTTTTTTGTGAATTTAACTTTGATTTTCTTTTTTATTTCATAAATGCAATGAAATGAATGTAAATAAAGGATTTTGAAGAGGATAAAAATGTACATGTACAATAAAAACTACTCAAAAGCTAAACCCTAACTAAAAGAAAAAAATCCCAAAAACTTTTATCTATTTTTTATTTGGCTATGTAATACCCAAAGTTTTTAGTTGGAATAAAAATATTTCATTTAGATATATTTGGTATTAAAATACCAAATATTTGAATTATTAGTGGATTCGAATACACGATTTAATAGCTGTTAACGGGCGTTACAGAATCATTTAGCGGCGTTAAATTTTAACCCCACAAGTTTAATTTTTTGGTCTGGTGGTAATATGTGGGTTGAATATTCTGCAAAACCCGGGTTGATATCCTACAAAATACTAGCATTTTGATTTTTTTAATGCTTCAGAAACCAATTCAACATGAAAAAGCATGTGTCTAATTTAGGTGTATGGTTTGGTTATGATGAGAACTAATTTAACTTTATCTTCTAGCGGCTTTGGTCTGGGTGATTGTTTACCAAATCCGAATAGGTATCGAACGCCATATCGGAGATGTGGAGGAGCTCATCGTCGTTGAAGGTTGTGCATCTGCGGATGGGAATGCATGGAAAAGGTGCTCATGGACATTTACAATTGGAAACTTTCTCTTGCGATTTTTGTTTCTTAATTTTTTGTTTGTTAATCTTCATTCCCCTCAATTTCTAGCTCATGGGATTTGGTTATGAAAAGATAAAGAGAAATTGAACACTCTATTTAAAATTGAAGCAAAATGGAAGAAAAAAAATCAATCAAACAGAGTTGGAGGTGGATTCGAACACAGGTTCTGAGGTTAATCAACCCAAATGTTACCAACAGACTAAAACAAAACATTAGTAAAATTTTGTAAATAGATTGTATATATCTATTTAAATATGTGGGGTTGAAATATATCGCCGTCAAATTATTCTGTAACATCAGTTAACAGTTGTTGTGTCCACCATCATTCAAAGACGAAATATTTTTATATAAAATATATTTAAATGAAGTATTTTTATTCCAACACAACAACCTTGGTTTTTAAACAACCAAAAAATAAATGAATGTCTTTTTCCGGAATTTCCCCATATCTAAAACTACAAAATCTCCTAACAACAAAACAAAAAAAACAACAATAGTAAAACCTCTATAAATTATTAATGTCGGGACCGAAAATTTCTATTAATTTATAAAGGTATTAATTTAATTAATTTATAGAGAGATTTTCTTAATTTTATAATTTTTAAGAAAAAATCTATATAAAAAGTAATTTTTTCTTTATAATCGATATCTTTCTGAAAAAACCAAGTACAAGTAGAAAAACAATTATTAAGTTTATAAACCAACACAAAAAAAATTTCAATGTAGTAAAAAAATTAGAATTGAGTTGTACCAAGAATGAACACAAATTTAAGAAAGACAAACAATACTAGAATCATATTCACTAAATTATTTACATGTAATACGACATATATAAATTACTATTATATATATATATATAAAGTTATATATATTAATAATTTTATACAATTATTAATTAATAAGATCATATGTTTATAAAAGATGTTTTAAAAAAATTATTATCTTATTAAGTTTTCGATTTGTATTATTTTTTATACCGATCCCGAATAATTTATTAGTTTGTAAAAGCATCAATTTATAGAAGTTTTATTGTACCACTTACAAAACATGGAGAACAAATATGGAAATGTTGGGATGGTATAACCCAAACCGGAAATCTCTATACCAAAAACAAAACCGGAAATTTCATGAAAGAGACAGTTTATGCTTTCAGACTTCTGGATTCCTCTAGAGAAGCTGAGAAAGACCACTTTTTCTTCTTCTTCTTCTTCTTCTTCTTCTTCTATACATGTCGCTTCTTCTTACTTGTCCAGAATTTTATCATTATCTCTGCTAAAAAGCTTCACTTGCCGTTGAATAAACGAAGAATGGAGGAGAACGAGCGCTTGTCGATGAAGAGGAAAGACATTGACAGAGTTAACGACGAATTCTCTGATTTTTCCGTCTCTTCTCCCGCCAGGAAGATTCGTCGTCTGGTAAATTCTCTTTCTGAGTTTTTGAAAACCCTAGAATTCTTGATCATCATGATGAATTGGTATATATTATCTTGATTCAGGATGTGGATTTGCCACCGATTATGGAGGAAGAGGAAGTTGATTTGCCGATGCAAGATACCGTCGCGGAAGATATTGAGCTTGAGCCGGTGAACGATGAGAGAGCAATTGTTCTATTTAAGCCTCTTCATTATCAGCAGCCTTCTTCTGGAAACCTATTTGTTGATAGAGACTTGATTTCTGGGTTTAAGAGTAAGTTTCTTTCATTTGTTGATGTTATGATTGAACCAATGCTTTAGGATTAGGTTTAACTATGTGGTTGAAGTGAATTACTGATGAGTTTTCTCAACTTTATTCAGTAATGAGATTGTGAAAGGTCTTGTAGCTTAACCTTAGAAACTACTATGTCATAGCAATGGCCTAGCTCATTAAGTAAGGCTATCTTCGGCATTTGGGATGTCTCGATAAGTTTCACCAAACAGTGCAGATAATCTTATAAGATTGTGAAAAGATTTGTAGGAAAACCTGAGAAACTATACTACTAATCTATAGTTTATATGCTGTGTCTTGGTTTCCGATTTTGTTATGGTTCGTTTAGTTTGTCTTCAATGTTTGAAAGCCACTGTTTGCCTCTAACTTGTGATCCAGAATCTTGACAACATATGGATGGGTGTGTCTAAATTCTGAATGTTCACATTTCTTGTTTTCTTGTGCAGATAGATTTCTTCGCGATGTATCAATAGCTGATGATAATCACTATGAAGATCAGAGATCCAACAAATGCCAAGCAGTTGTTTGCTGGAATCCTTCTCAGTCTACTTACTCTCAGTCCATAGGAACCTTCCAACAACCGCGTACACTAGAGATTACTGAGTTGGATGAAACAGGTGAGGATGCGGTAATGGATGAAGCAGCCAATGAGATAGAAGAAGATAGTGGAAGTACCACTCTATCTTTTCCGCAACAAGGACAGCACCAAGAGCCCACCTATGGTTTTGGCTTGCATCAGTGGCAGCAACAACAAAACTGTATGATTCCGCAGCTTCCTCAAGTCAGTACTACTCCCGCTCCTGTCACTTGGTTCCGATGATAAGGCTTAAGCACGGGAGACAGGAGCCCACCATCAGCAAATAGGGAATCCACGAAGCAGAGTAGTAGAAGGCAGATTTGTTGTTAGTTTTGTTTCTGCCTTTTGCGCGGATTAGAGATATGGCGTACTTTTGTTGCTGTATGTACCAAACTAATGGCTTCAGCTATATCTCCCCTAGGGTTGTTTGGAATATTATCTTTTGGATGTCGCTAAAATAACCTGAGATTAACGTTCCAACTCATACGCACTTCGGAAAGTAGACAAGGATTGATGGCTAGCATTTGTGAAATGGAAAGCTCAAAAGTTATGCTAAGCGCATGGTATGTGACTCACCTAAGGTACCTTGCACATTACCTTGTATGTTTCGCCTAAACTAAACGATGGTTAAGAAAAATTGAGGGATTTGAGCCATCGGAATTTGGAAATGATAATTTTGTGACCTTAGTTTCCGAAGAACTTGCGCAAAGGCTATTTTGAAAAGGTGAAAGCACAACTTAATAGCGGGAGTGACAGATAAAAAGAGGTAGCAGGAAAGAGCTTTAGCAAAGAAAGTGGCGGAGTTTTGCGACATTCACGAATTTGATCAACCAACTGTCTCGATCGGTTTACGAATAATCTGCCAGGAAGGTCACATTCTTTGCACAAATCTTTCTTTTCTTTTAAGTTGTTGCTTCAGTTGCTCTTTCTGCTTTCTTGTCTCAGTCCTCTAGTAGGTTTGTGAGATAATGGAATTTGGTGTAATCAAATTTTAGGTTTAAAAACATTAACTTCAAGTTCCATGAAATCCAGTAATTTGGAAGCAAAAACCAAAAGGGCCCATCTTCTTCATAGAAAGTATCTTACACTGCAAAACAAAATAGATGGTATACACAACAAAACAAGCTAACCACATGCTCTCAGTTTCTTCGATAAAACAAACCCAAAAAACAAAGATAGAAGACGGTTTATATACCAGAGAAGATGATAGCTCACTCTTGTCTAGCTAGATTATCTATCAGCAAGTTCGTCGTTGGCGCCAAAGATCGATAGCTTTGATGTTTTTCTCTTTTTCGATGGTTGATCATGTGAATTGTAAAGTCCAGACTCGGTTGGCGTACCTAGCTGCAACGCTATATGATCATCTGGAGAGATCCATGCTAGTGGATTAGCTGGAAAAAACAAGACAACCGAAATGTTAGAAAATTGTAAAAGTTGGATTTGGTGGAAATTGATATTCATCGCAGTGAACCAAAGACGTTTTATTGTTGAGAAGTTCCCTAAGACACCAATGTTTGGTTTGAGTACACGTAAAATACACTCTGACCGAGAAAATGACATCAATAATCTAAAGCCTTGGTACAAAAGATAACCACAATTATATTTCTGTAAATCCATACCTGGAGTGTTTTCAAAAGACTTATAATCTGCAAGCTTATAATAATATTTAGCCAAGAATGTCGTTTTTGGATATAGAAGAGTAACATGGGAAAAGAAGCAACATACCTTCTTTAGCTACATGGGTGTTTGTATTATCGATGGAATCCACTAGTCGAGCTGGGCGCTTCCTCACATAGTCATCCTGCAGCGGTTTCGGGATTTGGAACGAGAACTGTGAAAGTTTCACCCCTTCACTCATGTATTCGGGGTTGTCGTTCAAGTACCTGCAAACCAGTAATAATGGTTATAAGGGTGTAAAGAAACTCGCTATACGTAACTGAAAACAATTTGGTAATCACTTGATGCCAAAAAAAGAAAATCACAAAATGAATTGGTAGATCACTAAACTTTTATTTTACCATTGTTGCTGATCTCAATTGTTTCAGTGAAGTATAATGAAAATAGGGATGACATTTTAACCAATTTCTAGGCATTGCACAGTGAACACATTTTCGTTAGTCAACAAAACATAGGAAAGGGTTTCTGTATTTTTCATAACTGCCTATAACGCTGAGACCTCATTCTTATATATAATCAGACGCAAAAGCGAAGCACTCTATAGGAAAAGGAAATGAATAGATAGAAATCCTAAATCAGGAAACAGAAAAAGTGCATATTAACCAGTGTATCAGCTTATTATAAATTACGAAAACTAAAATGTGGAAATGGAGTGCTAGAGAAACTAACTTTTGGACCTCCACAGTTGATCGAAGCTTCTTCCCTGAAGGAGCAACATAATAGCTGAAAACAACCAGGAAAAAAGATTTATAAGGAAAGCTGATACAATGGTTTAAAGAGGAAAGACTACTTTGACATAAATGAGAGAAGAGTAACGACGTACACATCGGCAAATCTGGTACCTCCTTCACCTCTAATCCGCAATAAACGTTGCCATCCAGCGGGTGGGCGAGAGATATTCGGCTTATCAATAGCCCAAACACGAGTTCCATCTTGATAGATATCAGCAGGAACATCGCAAGAAATATCTGGCTTCCATTCACGTGCTGTTTCACAGAAAAACGGGTTTTCAAGAAGTTGTTCCCTAATCTCTTCATACTTCTGCATGGAAGGCATAAGTCTCCATTTGAAACAACTTGCACACTGAACCGTAAAAGCCCCAATAGAGGGACACTGTGTTCTGGATGACGGAAGCTGAGATTGAATCGGTAGAACTTCTTCTTCAGTATCATTTCCTTTCAAGTCATAAACCACCAACTGATTCTCACCTCTATCCTCAGCTACCTCATTAGGTGAAGACGATCTCGATCCTCGCGAACTTTGGACAGCAACCTTTCCTTCCTCCATTATGTTATTGGATTTGTTTTCATAGTACGACTGCGACATACTCATACAAAACAACCTGTAATAAATGGTTAGAGAAATCAATGTCAAGTGAAAACAGAATGATTCACTAGTCTCTCTATTAACATCATATGAGAACATAAACAAGAAAACATCAGAAGAAGCTAAGCATCAATGGAGCTTTTCTCTTTGTATATGAATTTACACAATGATACGAGTAAAGAACAGTAAACAGTAGAAACCCTCGAACATTTCAATCTCACAATCAACAATAATCAAAGAACAGAGAAAAAAGCAGAGCAACGGAAGTAACAATAATCATATCATCAAACGAGCTAACGTGAGCTGATAGAGACGAGATCCAAAAATACACAATTTCATCGAAAAAGCCGAAACAAAGATTAAAATTATCAAGAAGAAGAATCGTTACACGAAGAAGAAGAGACCAAACCAGGGTTTCAGAGATCGTTGAGCGAAGGCTCTAAAGATCGTTGTGGCTAATTTAAGAATCTCATTTTTGAGACAGAGCCAATTCGGACAAAGCTTTTAGATTTGTTTGTTGGTGTGGTTGTCTAGACAGAAAATGGGGAAACCGAGAAAGAGAAGAGAGAAAGAAACTGAATTTTATTTATTTTGCATAAATATGAAATTTGTTGTTACAAAAATAATTCTTAATTTACATTCACTCTAAAGATAATATCATGCTTTAACTAGGGAGAATATTTGTGCTTTTGGGATTAAAAACTGGTGTTTAAAACAAATCTTACCATTAATCAAAGTTCCGTTCAGAAAAAAAAAAAAGAATCAAAGTATAATTCTTTCTAAAATTAGATATGGATTCGTGTTGTGTGCGAGATAGATGAATTCTTTTAACAAATATTTGCCATTGTTTAACAAATATTTGAGACTTTCAAAATATGTAAATTAAACTTTTAATAAAAACAAATATATGTCAATTGTTTATAACATATTAAAAAAAAATGTTTACTAGTGAAGGATTATCACAAAGGGTTAACTTCTAGTCGTTGCGTTCTTAAGATCGATATCTCTAAAGCTTTTGATTCTGTGCAATAACCTTTTTTGTTTAATATTTTTAAGTCCATGAATCTATCGGAAAGCTTTATTAACTTGATCGAGTTGTGTATTGGGACTGCCTCTTTTTCTGTTCAGGTTAATGGGGAGTTAGTTGGTCATTTTCTGTACTTTCAAGTCTCACAAATTGTTGGCTATCCGCTTTCCTCTTGCCGAATAAGTGCATTAAAGAAATTAAAAGTTTATTTCAGCTTTTCTATAGTCATACCCTGAGTTAAACCCAAGAAAAACAAGATTGCTAAGAAAGATGTTTGTAAGCCAAAACAAAAGGGTAGTTTCGGGATAAGTTTGATATCAGAGGTTAACTCGGTTAGTGTCTTGAAGCTTATACGGAGATTCAATGTGGGTCAACTAGGTCCATAAAAATCTGTTGCGTAATGCTTCGTTATGGTCAGTCCATGGGAACTCCTCCTCTGGGTCGTGGATGTAGAGGAAAATTCTGAACTAAAGACCAACAACGAAACCTCTTAACAAGGTGAAAGTAAAATCTAGTGAGGGTACCTCTTTTTGCCATGATGTTTGGTGCCCACTTGGGAACTTGTTCGATTCTGATTTTAAACCAATAATTACTAGTTTACACATCTCTATATACTTTTCTGATTTTTTTTTAAATTTTTATCAATTTTTATGATGAATTTATTGTAAAACAGATTTTTTATTGAATAAACTTTACATTTACACAAAAAAAGACTATATATAATTTAGATTTCCGTAAAAATGTCAGGAATGTTTTTTTCAACTAAACAAAAGTGTTAAAAACAGTCTCCAACTTTGGTTTCGATGAAATATATAATCAATTTTTCTTGATTTTTCAATTAAATCGTAAACATTTGTTGACTTCTTATTTTAATCATTAACTTTGCTAAAATAGTCGAGTCATTAAGTTTGACTGACGGAATAAACTAACGGTGTTACGTCTTAGTTAAAAATAGATGATAACCTATAAAACGAGATTTTCAGCGGATACTTAACTCTGTTTATTTATTCCGTTTAGTCAAATTTATGATGTGGTGGGCTAAACGACTCTATTAAGTTGGAATCCTGAAATTGTTTTAACATTTTTTTATAATGGGATAAATGACTTATTTTTCTTTAGGCAATAAAATCTATCGGGCTGAGCCTAACATAAGAAGTCGAAAAATCATAACACATTGTGAAAGCTACAAAAAAAACGAGTTTCATGAGTCGTTAATTGGTGCCTGAATCTTTAATATGGTGGAGAAGGAGAGTATTGAGTCGATTTCAAATCAGGCAAGTGAAGAGTAGTCTTAAACCCTATAAAACTTTTAATGCTTATGTAAACATACATTATATTTATATTATATTTTTAGCACTATTTATTTATACCACAATCACAAACATTGTTTTTCTTAGGAAGCTATGTATTGTATTATACCACGCACACTACATAGTATCCATAGAAATCACAAAATTTAAATAAAAATATTTCTTGCAAAATAAATTATTTAGGTTAGGATTCTCTACAAAATATAGACAAAAGGGTTTGCAAAAACAAAGCAAGATTTGTGAACCAAAAAAATAACTAATCTTGTCAACAAAACATTATTAAATTTGTCCAAATAAACTCACAATCTTACTTTAAACCACAAAATAAATTAAAAGTATCATGAATACTTAATTTTTGTCCTCATAGACTATATTTGTCTATGAAATAATGACTAAAGTTTCATTTTTTGTCCTTTTTACAATTGTTATCCTTTGACGATTTTGTTGGTTTCACTGGTCGAGTGCGCTTCTTCACATAGTTCTCGTCCAGGGGTTTCGGCAACTGAAATGAGAACTGAGAAGGATTCACCCCTGCTCTCACATATTCTGGGTGGTTGTCCAAGAAACTGCAAGCCAAAAATGAGGTTAATTAATTTGCAAAATGATTCTATACATTGGTTTGCAAAATGGTAAGACATTGATACACCGATCCTCATCCCTAAGTCAGACGTAAAACCAAAAGACTATTGGAAAAGGAAACAAAGAGATGGAACGCCTAAATATTATCCTAAACTAGGAATTCAAAGAGTGTCAACCTATCGGCTTTCTATAAATTACATAACTTATTAGAAAATATTACCTTCGGACATCAGCTGATGATCGTAGCCTCTCTCCTGATGGAGGAAAATAATATCTGAATGACAATAAGAAAACCAATTATAAGAAAATCTTTATGATTTGACATCATTGAAAAGAAGAGTAAAAATGGGCTAAAAGAACTTACACGTCTGCAAATTTTGTGGAATCACTTCTAATATACACCGAGCGTGACCAGCCGGTGGGTATGGGAGGGATGTTAGACCATGTATCACATGTTGTTCCATCTTGAGGAACATTACAAGACATGTTTGGCGTCCAAGCACATGCTCTCTCGCAGACAAAGGGGGTTTGAAGTTGTGTTTCTTTGATTGTTTTGTAGTGTTGCATCGAAGGTATGAGCCTCCATTTCTTACAATCGGCACATTGAACCATGTAATCCTCTGTGACAGGCCGCTTTGTTTTGGAGGTATGTGTCATAAATTGAATTGGTGGCAGAGGCTGGATAGGTTCCACGTCTTCTGTTGGCAGAGACTGACTGCTAATATCTGATTTTTCTATAAGGTCATCCCATTCACGGGTGTTGAGGTCATGACTTACAGATTCAAAAGTTGGTTTAGCCAGATAATGGTTGGATTCGTTTCCATTGGGAGATGACGACATAACTCGATAAGAACTACATGTAATACATGATACATGGTTATAAGTTTATATAAACCACAAGTGTTGACATGCATGCATCTCTTTCCACATCAACAAAGATACCATAAAAAAATTATAGTCAAGTAAAGAACCGAAATGATAAATACGTAATCATGGATCATTTGTCAAAATTTAGCGTCTCTATATGAACATTATAAGAGAACATGATCTAGAAGACAAAAATCATAGTTATATGAGCATCATAATCCTTATATGCCTAGGAATTTACAAGAATTCATAAAATAACATAAAAATTACAACGGGTAACGAATATTTTATAGTGGAAACCCATTTATATCATAGAACGAAATTAAGAAAAAAAGTTGGATCAAATATCATTACAAGAAGAAAATCAATTACAAGAAAACGTTAATCTTACTTTTGAAAGGCAATCGTTAAGGAGAATAGATCACAAAGCGAAAGAGAACGTTGCAGAGATCTCACTTTTGAAGAAGAGAAGAGATATTTGGATTTGTTGTGTTGCTAAGATGGTGTCAAAGAGAGTTTATGTAGTAGACTCATGAAGGAAATGGAGCAGGCCCTATTTTAATTTGATTTCCATACAAAATCTTGTGTTGTTGACTTAGATTGATTTTTTAAAAATAACGGTTTTTTAAAATAAATAACGGTTTAAACTGTTGATAATTAGGAGAGTACTCTCATATACGATAATTACCCGCTCTTTTTTAAATGGTGTTTTGTACAAATATGAGCATAAATTTAAAATATTAGATATATATCCGGGATAAATTATTTTTTTCCTATAAAATAAGGTAAATAGAAAAGTCATATAAAAATGAAAAATAAGTTTTGACACTTTAAATTTTAAATAATAAAGAGATTTATTATATTACCTTTTTAACATAAGGTAAATATAATAGTCATATCAAAATGAAAAATAAGTTTTGACACTTTTTATTATATTAAAATTTTAAATAATAGAGAGATTTATTATATTACCTTTTTAACATAAGGTAAATATTTAACTTCTAAAAATATATAAATAAAGTTACTAAAGATGAGAAGACATGTATTGACTCTCTAGTTAGATTGATTATTACTTTACCATATATATACCATAAATGAAATTTAAATTACATTAATTCAAAAAGAGGTAAATAAATTGCAGGAAAATTAGTTTTTTTTTTAATAAATAAGGTAAATATATTAGTGACATTATAAACCAATATGTATTTTGACACTGTTTAACATATGTAAACTTTAAATAATGTAGGGGTTTATATGTGTGCAATGTGTTTAAAGTCTTTAAATAAATAAAGTTATCAAAGAAGAGATGATATATGTATATACTCTCTACTTAGAGATTGATTATTCCTTTTGCATGAAAATGTTGCAAAAAGTTAACTTTTGTAGTTTATGTTCGTCTAACCCCCTTTTTTCTTTTGCTTCATGTAATCAACATGTTAGTTTGACATTTTCACCGAATGTTTTTGAAAATATTGTCAAGATTAGAGCATTGGGACAACAGTTGTGGCCGAACATTCATCGAGGAAGAATAAATAGAAGTTAAGCTAGTATCATGTCATGTGAGTCAAGTTTCTTTTATTATTTATGTTTCGTTTGTTTATAGTTGTTCCCATACTTGTTTCGTTTTGGAGATAATTTGGATTTATACTCTTCTGCTTTGTCCTCATGTTTGAAGACTAACTGAGCTCTACCAAAGTACTCTTTTCAACCGAAGGATATTCCATAACTTTCATGTGGGCACAAACAGAGTTTGCTGAAGTTGAAGAGACAAATCAAGCTATCATGATTAGCTTGGAGGACTAGGTGACCAAATAGGTCGAGGTTAAGACAACGATGTTGGCAAAAAGTAAAGGAAAGGGTGGTGCTTAAGCAACAAAAAAATAAAACTCCCCCCGGTCGAGGAGGAGAAATGTTGGAGAGCTCATCAAGACTCTTAGCTTAGATGATATTCAGAAACCGAGCAGGTGCTTTGTTTCTTGCTTATGCGCCTAATACAAACACATACAGAGAAGAGACTGAAGATGTAGTTGTTGTCTGATGATGTTGTTGAATGAGTCAAGAAGTAATACAAGATTTTGTCTGATGGAGTTGCTGAATGATTCAAGAAGTAGTTCAAGATGCTGTTGTTTCTAGAAGGTTTGAGAAGATATGTTTGGAGCGTGTTTAGAGGATGAATCACAAAGGAAAAAGGACTTAAAGAGATTTGGAAGACTTGATGAAAGTGGAGTTTGATGAGAAAAAGGAAAAGTATAAAAGGAAATTTACTTTTCCTTATGGAAATTGGAAATCTTCTCCTATGGCGATTAGGAATTCGTTTTGGCTATATAAGGAGGAGCTGAGGACGTCTCTGAGAGGCAAGAGAGCTGAGGGATAGAGACAAATCATTGAGAGCTGAGGGATAGAGACAAATCATTGAGAGTTTTCTGAGGGTATGTGCGACATAGTTTCGCGGTTTTGTGCGACATAGTTTTGCGGTTTGATGCTTGTGTGATCAAGCTTATTTGTATGTTGGTGTAACGTTCGTGTGTGACGGTTGGTCTAGAGACTTGAAGAATTGAAGTCTAGACTCAGGGGGACTTTAGCTCAGGGTTAGGTTATCCTGATTAAATCTAGACTCAGGGGGAGTTTAGTTAAGGGTAGAGATTATCCTTAAGATTTCACGTTATAGAAGGGAGCGGTAAATCAAGAGGGTTGTTCTTGTTTTACGCGTTTGCGAATTGGCTGTAATTTGCTTTTTTGTTCTAGTGAAATCAAAATCTGGACTTGGTCCCGGGGAGTAGGAAAACCAAACCTCGTTAACAAAGTTCTTGTCTCGTTTGCTTTCTGTAATTTATCTTACCTCATCCGCACTTACAATTGGTATCAGAGCGGGTTCTCGATAAAGATTTAGTCTTGTTTCGGGTAGATCAAGGGTGAGGTTCAGGAAATCGTTCAGGAGATCGTTCAGGAAGTAAGACAGAGTTTGATATCAAGATTGATGGAGATATTGAGTTTGCCATTCAAGAAGCGGTTCTCATGGAATGAGGGAAACAAATCTCTTCACGGGTTTAGGGCTAATTGAAAAAGAGAAGAGTTGGGAAATTCATCAAAGGGCATACAATGTTTTGAGTGCAAAGGTTTTGGACATGTGCGTTTGGAATGTGCGAATTTGCTGAAGCCAAAGAAGAAGAAAATGATTATGAATAACTCTGAAACTGATTCAGATGATGGTGAAGAGTTGAAGAGTTTTATGGCGTTTACAACCTTTGAGTCAATTACATCTGTAGTAGGAGGTGTATTAGCGTCTATGTCAGGGTTTGCGTCAGCGTCTACAACATGAGCTGTAATATAAAGTGACAATGATCAAAGTGATGACGATGCTGCAAGTATCAGTGATGAAGAGTTTCATGAGAATTACAAAGCCTTATATGAGCATTGGCTTAAAATAGTTGAGGAGAATTTAGTGTTAACTAAGGAGAAACTCAAGTTAGAGGCTAAAGTCATTGAACCACAGAAATATGCGGCAGAAAAAGAAGAAGAAGCATCACAAGCTAAAATACAACTTGAAGAAACTCAAAAGAATTTGAGTGTGCTTAATAATGGCACAAAGAAGTTGGATCATATTCTGCATATTGGCAAGACTGATAAGTGTGGCCTTAGATTTAAAGGAAAACTTTTAACATAGGAGAATCACATTCTGATAAGTGTAATCCAATATTATAGTCTATATAAATAAAATTTAGAATTAGACTCTTACAATGATGCTTCAACCCATATAAGACCATTAAAAAAACAAATTGAGATAATGTAGAAGAGATGAGAGAATGATTATTTATAAGCTTATAATCTAAAATAGATAATGAGTATCTTTTCAACTTAATTTTCTTTATGTATATGATTAAATGTGTTGCATATAGGCCTGAGCATAAAATCAGAATCCGAAAAAACCGATCCGCTCATTAATTTTATGCTCAGCTCTTTCATCTCATGCTTAGTTCGGATCGCATAAATCGGGTTATTTGGGTAATTTGGATAATTCGGACCGGTAAATTGGGTAATTCAGATCAAATGTCTGATTTAATCAGATAATTCGGATCTAAATACGGATCTGAAACCAAAATTATACATGTTTCGGTTACACATCAGGTTTCCAAAAAATTTTGTTAACCAATCTGATCCGCAAATCATTAGGATCCTAATCGGATTCTAAACATCCCAATCCAAAAAATCCGAAATCCGAATTATCCGATCCGACCCGAATACGAAAACCGAACGTCCAGGCCTAGTTGCATATGTGATTAATTGTGAATTTTATATATACTGTATGATTTATTTATTTATGACACATTATTAATTAACTCATTTATATATAAAAGTAAGGTTTCACTATCAATGTAACTTAAAAATATATATATATATATATATATATTATTTCCAGTTAAATCACAAATAACACATTCAATTATATACATTTAACTCACACTTTAATATAAACTAGAAATCATTAAATTATGCATTAACTATATTATATTTCTCCATTCAATTATATTCAACAAACTATAAATTAAAGTTGTAACTCCCATAATTTATTTTCTATATTGTAACTCCCATCACTTCTCATTCTATAAATACTCATTTTCTCATTCTCTAATCCTCTTCTACTATATCTCAAATATTAACTTTTCTTTTTGTTTTGTTTTAAGTATTTTTTTTTGTTCTTGTTGTTGTATGGGTTGAAAAAATCAATTTAAATATCATTGTAAAAGCTTAATTCTAAATTATAATTTTAGAGACTATATGATATATATATATATATATATATAAATATTACATTGTTTTTTTTAAAAAAAAAAAAATTCATCTCCATTGTCTATTTAGATCATCATCTTATAAGTAATCATTCTCTCATTCTTTTCCATTATATTCATGTATCTATTTATTATGTTATTATATGGGTTGAAAATCAATGGAAACATCATTATAATTAAGGATTTGATTCTAAATGTGTTTTAGAAAGTATGATATATATCTAACATTTTTTTCATTTTTAGTTTATTTCTA